GTGGCTCAGACTTTTACATCTTGTATATATATTGATAGTCCTCATAGGAAAAAGACTCCAAAAGGGTTCTGTTGTGCTTTAACTATAAAGTACTCTTTAAAGAACTTTCTCTTTTATGGGAAAATCCAATTGAAGTGTCCTGTGATGACCAAACATAATTATTTACAGAGGAGTATATTACTTCAGAAAGTATAAACCACCAAAGACAGGGTCCTTGACCTAAGAAGCTTAAGCTTTAAGATAGGGGTAAACAAAAGTAAGATAACAGTAAAACAGAGTTAGTCTCAAGGCTGAAGACAGATCAGCCCAGGATACTGTGGGGAAGTAGAGTGACATTATCCAACTCTAGCGCCTCATGAAACAGATTTGCTCCTAGAAACCCTAGTAACTTTGGGACCCAAGAATAGGGCAGAACTTGAGGCTTTCATTTCTTTCACAGGGAAAGTTGACAGCAAACCATCAAAGGCTTGTTTTAGCTTTCGCTAACATTGTATAGAGATTTATTGCTATCTGGACTAGGCTGACCTCTAATTTGGTTCTGAAAATCTTCTGGGTGGATTTTTTTTATGATGCCAAGACTTTGCCATTAGTCCATTTAACGTTGAATGCTTCCTTTGTTAGGTTCAAAGGTTGATTTTTAATTTAATTTACTTTTTTACCAATGTAGCCTAGTATACCACACTGCTGCTACTGCTGCTAAGTCATTTCAGTCCTGTCAACTCTGTGCGACCCCATAGACAGTAGCCCACCAGGCTCCTCCGTCCATGGGAGTTTCCAGGCAAGAGTACTAGAGTGGATTTCCTTCTCCAATACAACACTAAATATGACCAAAGTTAATGAAATGCTTACAAGTCTCAACGTCATTTGCAAATAGTCTTTCTGAGTATTCTGGCTTTGGCTCCTTAACATCAGTATCGGAAGGAAAATACAATCAAATCCCTAAGTGATATTTGGTCATTAATAGTTTAATGTGTGTTTATTTTTTTTTTTCCTTCCAGGTTTTTATTTCAGAAAATAAATCCTGGATTATGTTCTCAAAGGAATTAAAATGATTTTTGTGTATCTTTCCTTAAAATCCTCGAGGCCTGCCTCTTCTCCTCCACCTCCCTCCTTGTGGTTCTTATAAAGGTTTAACAACTGGCAGCCCTGAAATCTGATGACCTCTTCTTCCCTTTGACTAGATAAGGTAGCACAGCTGCTGGAAAGTTTTCCCACAGGCGCTGCCAATGGCGGTGGCTGGGGAGGGTGTCCCTCTGTGGAGAGAAAGGTAATTCGATCTTCACACAGATCAGACCTGGGCCTTGTCAGAGTTGAGTGTGTGTGCTATATTAAATTACACTCAGTGCTTTCTCTTCTACTCCTTGAACTACTGTTCACATAGACCACCCAACTCACAGCACTTTCTTGAGCCCCCGAGGAACCCACTTATAACTGTCCACTGAGTCGTTCTGCTAGCAGGCTGTCTGGAGCTGGCTTCTTCAGAACCCATCAGCAATGTTTCTGGCAGAATGATTTCACATTTCCAGTGAAATCTCATCACATGAGGAAAGTTAATAATCTTTGGTGAGAATGATTTGTGCTAAGAACCTGCAGAGCAGGAAATTGAGAAGCAGTCAGGCAAAGTTTAGAGATGAGCCTTTCGGTTTGGGTGCATGGCTTTTATTTACTGTGCCTTAACCATAAGCCAGATTTTGTATTGGTATCTGTAACTTCTTGTGCCCCAGCCTTAATCTTCTAGTTTACTGATTTTCAAACTCTAGCATGTATCAGACTCAGATTCCAGGGCCTCATCCACAGAGAGATTCTGACTCAGATTCCAGGGCCTCATCCACAGAGAGATTCTGACCACAGATTTAAATTTTTAAATCTATTTTATTTTTAACAAACACTCCAGCTCATATGCTGTAAGGATTATACTTTGAGAAAAAGATCAGTAACAAAATGCTATCACTAATTCTCTTCCCATATATCAAGAGGAATTGATACTTCATAGATTATTCATATTATATTGTGAATTAAAGTGTGAATCTACACTCAAAAATTTAATTTTGTTGAGAGATAAGGAAAAAACCTATTCCAAGATACCTATGAAAAAACAGTAGTATGAGCTGTAAATATGGGATAAATCAATAAAAGGAGCAGTTACTTTTAGAAGTTGTGGTCATGGAAATCTTCCCAATACTTTAATTTTTTTACTTTCAGGAAAATTGTTTTTGAAACAGAAATTTTTAAGTAGGAGGGAACCAATGATTTTTTCCTAATTCTTCCTACTGATGATAGAAACTAATTTTTTAGTGGCTTCACTTATAAAAGCAGAACGCATTAAGTACATGTTATACGAAAGACAATTTTTGTTGTTGTTCTTGAAGCCTTCTCATATCTACTCTGGTCAAAATTCCAGTCCTCAGCATTCTTTAATTTCTCTAAAGCAATAGAATATGTTCAGTAAATTTAAGGAGAAAAGAAGTACTCTCTAAAATTTGGCTCAAGGAAAACACTGGAACTCTTTAAAAAGTCAATTCACTCTTAGAAAATCTAATGAGGGATTTAAAGACATTTTAAGATAACTCAGTTTCTTACAACAACATCTAGTACTACTGCTGCTGCCACTACTGCTACTCTAGAGGAATTTTTTGGGCACTGAAATGTAGAAATGTACTATTGTACAGTTTTTCTTATGTCAAAATAGAGTAATAGAAAGATTCAAAGGCTGTGAATCAGATGACAGAGCTTCTAATCTCAAGGATAGAATTCAGTAGATGTATGATCTTAAGTAAATAAATTAATCTTTCTGTGTTTCAGGCTTTTGTAAAATGGAGTTAATAAAACTTCTTCTATCTTAAATACTTATTGCATAGGTAAATAAATATAATATTAGTAGCAAAAGTCTTTACATTTTAAAGAGTGTGTTTGCATATAAACTTTTATTCTATATATGCACACACTTCTTTTCCTTCAAATCCACAAGATAAGCTGTATAATAAAACTAAGCCTCTTGCAATAGGGGTTTGGGTCTCTGGCTTTCTTGAATGGACTTCTCTCCTAACCTCTGTTCTCACTCTTGATAAAGCAATAAAAATGTTCACAATTTCAATTTAAATTCAAACAAGTACAACTGGGTTTCTATGAATACCATACTAGAGTTAAGATGCATAATTATATGATGATGAAAACAGTGGCTGACTTTATTTTTATTGGGCTCCAAAATCACTGCAGATGGTGACTGCAGCCATGAAATCAAAAGACGCTTACTCCTTGGAAGGAAAGTTATGCCCAAAAAGCATAGACATTACTTTGCCAACAAAGGTCCGTCTAGTCAGGCTATGGTTTTTCCAGTGGTCATGTATGGATGTGAGAGTTGGACTATAAAGAAAGCTGAGTGCCAAAGAATTGATGCTTTTGAACTCTGGTGTTGGAGAAGACTCTTGAGAGTCCCTTGGACTGCAAGGAGGTCCAACCAGTCCATCCAAAAGGAGATTAGTCCTGGGTGTTCATTGGTAGGACTGATGCTGAAGCTGAAACTCCAGTACTTTGGCCACCTGATGTGAAGAGAAGACCCTGATGCTGGGAAAGATTGAACGTGGGAGGAGAAGGGGACAACAGAGGATGAGATGGTTGAAAGACATTACCGACTCAATGGACATGAGTTTGGGTAAACTCTAAGATTTGGTGGTGATGGACAAGCAGGCCTGTCATGCTGTGTTCCATGGGGTCACAAAAGTTGGACATGACTGAGTGACTGAACTGAACTGACTGAATGATGATTAAAAGGTGACATTATTATTCAGGGCTATAATATTTCCTAATTATTTCTTGATCTTAAATAGCAATATCAAGTTTTAATCAAAAAAGAAGAAAATAAGTTACTTTCTAAAAAAATACTGTTTTGTCTGCATAACCTAATTTGTTAAGAGACAATGTTTCAAGTTCACGAACCTGGTTATGAAAAGATCTGAGTTATTGGCAATGGCCATGTCTAGTTGGGCTAAGATATTTTAAGCTGAGCTATAGATTTGATTGCTTTTTAAAAAAATATTGAACACCTACTATGTGTGAGATACTGTGCTTGATACTACAGGGGTATAAAAATATTTAAATAATGTTACAAGTGAAAAGTAACTTGAGAGAAACAGCAATAAAAAGAAATGAAGAGAGGAGTTTCTGAATCTTGGGAGGATCAGCAGTTAATTCAAAGCTGTTTAAACTGATCTATAAAGGAAAGAGACTTCAGATACATGAGGAAGGAAGCGGGAGTATGTCAGGTAGGGAGAATATCAGAAGCAAATACCTAGAGGGAGTGAAGGCCAAAGAATACATAAGAAACAATAAGCTGTTGAACCTGTGTTTACTCAGATTTCAAAGAGAGGAGGGAACATCTGTTTGTTAAATGTACTGATCACTTGCTGTTATGGGCTGAATGTTTATGTCCTCACAAAATCCATATTTTACGGGAGTGCCATCACTTCCGGCATGTGCTTCTGGAGTCCTGCCGCCGCGGAATGGCGGCTCTACGGAGTTGGCTTTCTCGGAGCGTATCCTCGCTTTTCAGAAACCGGAGCCTCATTCTCTTAGTAACGATACATTAATGAGGAGGGCTGTCTCTTTGGTAACAGATAGCACCTCTACCTTTCTCTCTCAGACTACATATGCATTGATTGAAGCAATCACTGAATATACTAAGGCTGTTTATACCTTAATTTCTCTGTACCGACAATACACAAGTTTACTTGGGAAAATGAATTCACAGGAGGAAGATGAAGTATGGCAGGTGATTATAGGAGCCAGAGTTGAGATGACTTCAAAACAACAAGAGTACCTGAAGTTGGAAACCACCTGGATGACTGCCGTCAGTCTTTCAGAGATGGCAGCAGAAGCTGCCTACCAGACTGATTTAACTCAGAGACTCACTTCACTATAGCATCATCCACAGTTGTATCAAAGACCGGGGAAAGATAGTGGCAACAGGCAACGGAGAGAGAGCTCTGACAACACAGAAGGCAATGAGTATGCTAAAACCAAGCAGGCTTAAGGCCCCCACCAAGATCCTGAAGCCTGGAAGCACAGCCTTGAAGACACCTGCTGCTGTTGTCGCTCCAACAGAAAACACAGCATCCAGTGAAAAAACCTCAAGCACTCCGTCCTCTGAGACACAAGAGGAGTTTGTGGATGACTTCCGAGTTGGGGAGCGAGTTTGGGTGAACGGGAATAAGCCTGGGTTTATCCAGTTCCTGGGAGAAACCCAGTTTGCACCAGGCCAGTGGGCCGGGATCATTTTAGATGAACCCATCGGCAAGAACGACGGCTCGGTGGCAGGAGCTCGGTACTTCCAGTGTGAGCCTCTGAAGGGCATATTCACCCGGCCTTCAAAGCTGACGAGGGAGGCGCGGGCCGGGGCTGAAGCTGACGGCCCGCAGACGACTCCCGCTGCCAGGGCCCCTTCGCCTCCGTCCACTTCGGCAGTCAGCATGGCGTCTTCGTCCCCAGCCACCCCCTCACATATTCCCCTTAGATTGTCCCGCTCACATATTCCCCGCAGATTGTCCCAACCAACTGCAAGGAACCTTCAGCTACATCTCAGATCAGCAACCTTATGAAAACCGCCAGCAAATCTATCTCCAACCTATTAGAGGCCGGCTCAATCAAGAAAGGAGAGAGAGGACTCAAAGTCAGAGACCAAGTATTGGTTGGTGGCACGAAGGCTGGTGTAGTCCGGTTTCTTGGGGAGACAGACTTTGCCAAGGGGGAGTGGTGCGGCGTGGAGTTGGATGAACCTCTGGGGAAGAATGACGGGGCTGTTGCTGGAACAAGGTATTTTCAGTGTCAACCCAAATATGGACTGTTTGCTCCAATCCACAAAGTCACCAAGATTGGCTTCCCCTCCACCACGCCAGCCAAAGCCAAGGCCGTGGCGGTGAGGCGAGTGATGGCAACCACGCCCGCCAGCATGAAGCGCAGCCCGTCTGCCTCCTCTCTCAGCTCCATGAGCTCCGTGGCCTCCTCTGTGAGCAGCAAGCCCAGCGGGACAGGACTGTTGACCGAAACCTCCTCCCGTTACACCAGGAAGATCTCTGGCACCACCGCCCTCCAGGAGGCCCTGAAGGAGAAGCAGCAGCATATTGAGCAGCTGCTGGCCAAACGAGATCTAGAGAGGGCGGAGGTGGCCAAGGCCACGAGCCACGTCGGGGAGATAGAGCAGGAGCTCGCCCTGGCCCGGGACGGACATGACCAGCACATCCTGGAGTTGGAGGCCAAGATGGACCAGCTTAGAACGATGGTGGAAGCTGCCGACCGGGAGAAGGTGGAACTTCTCAACCAACTTGAAGAGGAGAAAAGGAAGGTTGAGGACCTTCAGTTCCGGATTGAAGAAGAATCAATTACTAAGGGCGATCTTGAGGTGGCCACGGTGTCAGAAAAGTCCCGCATCATGGAACTCGAGAAAGACCTCGCTTTGCGAGTGCAGGAGGTAGCTGAGCTGCGGAGGCGGCTGGAGTCCAATAAGCCGGCTGGGGATGTGGACATGTCACTGTCCCTCTTGCAAGAGATCAGCGCTTTGGAGGAGAAGATAGAAGCCACTCATAGTGACCATCAGAAAGAAGTCGCTTCTCTGAGGGAGCATTTTGGAGCCCGGGAAGAAACACACCAGAAGGAGTTAAAGGCTCTGCAGGCCGCCACAGAGAAGCTTTCCAGCGAGAATGAGTCCCTGAAAAGCAAGCTCGACCACGCCAACAAGGAGAATTCAGACGTGATCATCCTGTGGAAGTCCAAGCTGGAAACAGCCATTGCGTCCCACCAGCAGGCCATGGAGGAGCTGAAAGGGGGTCGGCACCGAGACAGCTGAGTTTGCGAGTTAAAAACGCAGATAGAGAAGGTGAGACTAGACCAACAGCAGGAAATAGAAGAGCAGCAGAACAGGCAGGACTCGGAAAGGTGTGCTCACATGAAAAGAGCTCGAAGGCCTAAAGGCTAAGCTGATGCAAGCCATTAAAGAGAAGGAGAACAGTCTGGAAGCCATCCAGACGAAGCTGGACAAAGCAGAAGACCAGCACCTAGTGGAGATGGAGGATACCTTAAGCAAACTGCAGGAAGCCGAGCTAAAGGTAAAGGAGCTAGAGGTGCTACAAGCCAAATGCAATGAGCAAACCAAGGTTATTGATCATTTTACATCACAGCTCAAGGCTGCCAAAGAAAAGCTCTCGGATCTTGATGCACTTCAGAAGGTCAGCTCTGAAGGTAAATCCGAAATCGAGAACCTCAGACAGGAGCTCAAAGCAGCTAAGAAACAGATTAAAAGCTTAGAGAGTGAAAAGGATGCTGAAAGCGGCAAGGCTAGTAGCATCACCAAAGAGCTGCAGGGAAAAGAGCTAATGCTTAATAACCTTCAGGAAAACTTGAGCGAAGTCAGCCGAGTGAAAGAGGCTTTGGAAAAAGAACTGCAGACTTTGAAAGAAAAGTTCGCTGATGCTTCAGAGGAGGCAGTCTCTTTTCAGAGAAGTATGCAAGATATGAAGGCAAAATTCAGAGAGAGATGAAAGGAAAGAGCAGCTATTAAAGGCGAAGAAAAAACTGGAAAATGACATTGCAGCAATAATGAAAATGTCTGGAGACAATTCTTCTCAGCTGACAAAAATGAACGACGAACTACGTCTGAAAGAAAGAGATGTAGAAGAATTACAGCTGAAACTCACCAAGGCTAACGAAAACACAAGCCTCCTGCAGAAAAGTATCGGGGAAGTAACTCTCAAAGCCGAACAAAGTCAGAAAGAAGCAGCTAAAAAACATGAGGAAGAAAAGAAAGAACTGCTGAGAAAACTGTCATACCTGGAAAAGAAGGTGGAAATGAGCCGCAACGAGTGCCAAGATCTGAAAGCCAGGTACGAGGAAGCCAGTTCTGAGAGCAGAGCCAAGCACGAAGAAGTCCTGCAGAACCTCCACAAGCTGCTCCGGGACACAGAGGAGCGGCTGAAGGCTGCACAGGAGGAGAACCGCGAGCTGCTGCAGAAGCTGGAGGAGCTGGGGAAGCAAGCCGAAGGAGCCAAATTGGATACACGTAAAGAAAACAACTTGATCTTTATCTTTCTGGCTTACTTCGCTCTGTATAATGGGCTCCAGTTTCATCCATCTCATTAGAACTGATTCAAATGAATTCTTTTTAATGGCTGAGTAATATTCCATGGTGTATATGTACCACAGCTTCCTCATCCATTCATCTGCTGATGGGCATCTAGGTTGCTTCCATGTCCTGGCTATTATAAACAGTGCTGCGATGAACATTGGGGTACATGTGTCTCTTTCAGATCTGGTTTCCTCGGTGTGTATGCCCAGAAGTGGGATTGCTGGGTCATATGGCAGTTCTATTTCCAGCTTTTTAAGAAATCTCCACACTGTTTTCCATAGTGGCTGTACTAATTTGCATTCCCACCAACAGTGTAAGAGGGTTCCCTTTTCTCCACACCCTCTCCAGCATTTATTGCTTGTAGACTTTTGGATAGCAGCCATCCTGACTGGTGTGTAATGGTACCTCATTGTGGTTTTGATTTGCATTTCTCTGATAATGAGTGATGTTGAGCATCTTTTCATGTGTTTGTTAGCCATCTGTATGTCTTCCTTGGAGAAATGTCTGTTCAGTTCTTGGGCCCTGTGCAAAACAGAAAAAGAGACTCCTATGTATAGAACAGACTTGTGGACTCTGGGAGAAGGCGAGGGTGGGATGTTTCAAGAGAACAGCATTGAAACACGTATATTATCTAGGGTGAAACAGTTCACCAGCCCAGGTTGGGTGCATGAGACAAGTGCTCGGGCCTGGTGCACTGGGAAGACCCAGAGGGATTGGGTGGAGAGGGAGGTGGGAGGGGGGGACCGGGATGGGGAATACATGTAAAAAAAAAAAAAAAAGATACACTATGGTTGTGATAAAAATAAATAAATAAATAAATTTTTAAAAAAAAAAAAAGAAAGAAGAAAACAACTTGAAAAACGTGGAAGAGCTGAACAAATCAAAAGAGCTTCTGATGGTAGAGAACCAAAAAATAGAAGAATTAAAGAAAGAAATAGAAACCCTAAGGCAGGCAGCAGCTCAGAAGTCCCAGCAGCTCTCAGCGCTGCAAGAAGAGAATGTGAAACTTAACGAGGAGCTGGGGAGGAGCAGGGACGAAGTCACCAGTCACCAAAAGCTGGAAGAAAAGAGATCTGTACTCAATAATCAGTTGTTAGAAATTCAAAAGAGAGAATCCAAGTTAATAAAAGACGCAGATGAAGAAAAAGCTTCCTTGCAGAAATCCATCAGTTTCACTAGTGCCTTACTCACAGAAAAGGATGCGGAGCTGGAAAAGCTAAGAAATGAGGTCACGGTGCTCAGGGGAGAGAACGCGTCCGCCAGGTCCTTGCATTCAGTTGTTAACGCATCCGCCAGGTCCTTGCATTCAGTTGTTAACGCGTCCGCCAAGTCCTTGGCATTCAGTTGTTAACGCGTCCGCCAAGTCCTTGCATTCAGTTGTTCAGTCTCTAGAGACTGATAAGGTGAAGCTTGAGCTCAAGGTAAAGAACTTGGAGCTTCAACTCAAAGAAAACAAGATGCAGCTCAGCAGCTCCTCAGGTAATACTGATACTCAGGCAGAAGAGGACGAAAGAGCCCAGGAGAGTCGGATTGGCTTCCTCAATTCAGTAATAGTAGACCTTCTGAGCAAGAATCAGGACCTCCAGATGAAGGTGGAGATGATGTCAGAAGCAGCCTTGAACGGGGACGGGGATGACCTGAACAATTACGACAGCGATGACCAGGAAAAACAGTCCAAGAAGAAACCCCGCCTCTTCTGTGACATATGTGACTGCTTTGATCTGCATGACACAGAGGATTGTCCCACCCAGTCCCAGATGTCTGAGGACCCTCCGCACTCTGCACACCACGGCAGTCGGAGCGAGGAACGCCCATACTGTGAAATCTGCGAGATGTTTGGGCACTGGGCTACCAACTGCAATGATGAGGAGACCTTCTGATGAAGCCTCCCAGCCAGAACTGGGCTCTCTCAGATGTGCTAGCATGTAGGCAACTGACCACCAGCATTTTGCGTGCAGAAAGAACAATAAAGGGGGGTTTTCACCTCTGAAAAAAAAAAAATCCATATTTTACAATCCTAACCTCCAGTGTGATGGTATTAGGAGGTAGGGCTGTGGGGAGGTGATTAAGTTATAAGGGTGAAGCCCTCATGTATGGGGTTAGTGCCCTTATCCAAGGAACATCCCCCCCCCCCCCAACTCTTCCCAAGGTCTTTTTCTTTCTCTGCTTTGTAAGAACACAATGAAAAGACCCTGTTTATGAACACAAAGGCCCCAGAGCCTTGATGCTGATTGACATTTCAGACTACAGATAATGTCAAAGGATTAGGAACAAGGACAGGTATACACATATTAATAAATAGCTGACTTATAATGAAGCATTGTACTATACAGATTTATTCTTATTTAATTCTCCTAACCCTTTTATCAGTCCCATTTTACCAATGGGAAAACTAAGACTTGGAGAACTTCAGATAAATTTCCTGAAATTAAATATTTGCAGAACTACCTCTAGATTTACCGCCTTAATTGCTTTCCTGTATCCCCTTCTGGGCTTCCCAGGTGGCACTACTGGTAAGGAGCCTGCCCGCCAATGCAGGAGACATGAGTCTTGGGTTCAATCCCTGGGTCGGGAAGATCCCCTGAGGAGGGCACAGCAACTCACTCCAGTATTCCTACCTGGAGAACCCCATGGACAGAGGAGTCTGGAGGGCTTCAATCCATAAGGTCTCAAAGAGCTGGACATGACTGAAGTGACTTAACATGCACACATCACTCTGTATTGTTTTTGGTTCACTATTGGTCTCACCCAGCCCCCACCATCAGCAATCCCTATGGGTAGTAGAATTAACTGTGGCTTCTAAACAAACTCAGTTTTTGTGGAGTGAAATAGTCTCATTCAAGAGATTTTTCACTTGCTTAAACCTATTATATAAGCTGCCATGTTTCCTTTCAATATTTTAACAAATATTTTGTCTTCTACTGGTTGGAAAAAGAACATGGCCAAAAGCATTTACACTTCTTTACCTCGTAGTCTTTGAGAGTTGGAACACATCATGTGATAGGATGCTTTGGATTCCTTGATACCATTTCTTCTTCTGAGCACATGTAGTGGAGCAAGAAGACAGGGTATTATTTCCTTGCTGGAATCCCATAAAGCCTAGTCAGCCAAGGCAATTTCACAGTGCCTGACCAAAACACCTTGGCTGCCGCTCCCACACATGTGGGAGATGTTTTTGGCCGAGGGCAATGGCTTGAGTCAGTGATTGCTGAATGCCCTGTATTTGGCATCCTACTTTTCATGTAAATAGTAGGAGAACAGAGCAGGCCTTCATGATTATACCTTTACTGACGGAGAGATTTTCGTGAGTAAACATCCATCTCATAGTTAAGTCCCCTGGGTTTTTTTTTCCCTTTTTTTTTAGGTTAATATCTTTTACTTTTTCATTTTGAAGTTCTAGTTGATGTGGCTGTTTCTTTGATATTGTTGATCAAATATCAAATTGCCATCTCTTGCTAACTATTCTAAAGTGTGAATTCAGAAACATCTTTGTATGATGTTTCTCTACAATTACTTCTTGTACTTTATTTAGCTTTATTTTCTTAGCTAGACAAATGTTCTTAAGAGCATGTTCCAAATTCTTAAGACTCATATTCATTTAATGTTTTCTGAGTGCTTAGTGTGGTGCTGAATGTAGAACAAACATTCATTAACTTCTTAATTGATTGAGTTGACTTGGCTATTGGCTGACTTCATGAAAGTAATAAACAGGTATTTTAAAGTGGGCTGGTTAATCCAGTTTATAACAGCATAGTGTTGTTGTCTACTGGGAGTGGGTAGGTGAAGGTCCCTAGATGGACCAGTTTGAATTATGAATGTTGGCTACTGTATTTAACCCATGACCTCACAAAAGTGTGAACCTAATTGCAAAAATGGGCTTCCTGGTGGCTCAGTAGTAAAGAATCTGCCTGCAATGCAGGAGATGAAGTTTCCATCCCTAGGTTGGGAAGATCCCCTAGAGGAAATGGCAACCCATTCCAGTATTCTTGCTTGGAAAATTCCATGGACAGAGGAGTCTGACAGGCTACAATCCATGGAGTCATAGTCAGACACGACTTAGCGGCTAGATGACAACAAATCACAAGAAAGAGACGATAATGGTAATTGAATCAATATTAAAAGCCAACAGCCTAAGGGTGTGCCTCAAAATGGTGGTTCAGGGATGACTCACAAATTAAATTTTTGAGAGCAAGTAGAACAATAAAATTAAAATTTTTCTATCTCTGTACCTCCCTGATTCCTTCAATCCCTCTATCTCTTTTTCCATTCTTCAAAAACATTGTGAATCCATTCCTAGCCTAGACATGGAATTAAGAGAATGAATATAATGCAAAAGAGATAATCTTGACTCTGCTTGCATTTCAGTGGAGGAGACAGACAAGTCATGTTATAATCAGGTCTATGCACTATGTCATAGGAGTGTACAATCCAGGGTCAGCTGACTGGAGATAGTAGAGGGCGTTAACAGAGTAGGAGGGAATGATGCTTTTAGTGGAGAGAATAACACGTGGAAAGGTATAGAGGTAAGAGGAAGCTGTTTAGGAGAGCCACGAAGCTGGGGTGAAGACCAAGAGGTGTTGAAGTGGTATAAATGGACCACGCTTTAATAAAAGACTTCTTAAACCCTACTAGAGATTTGAGACTTTACCCCAAGGAAAAGAATTGTGTTTTTAAGCAGAGGAAGTGGGATGTACAGATTTATGCATTTCATAGCTCATACTGATTGAGCTGAAGGTGAGAGAAAGACAGGAGGCAGAGATAAGATGTTAAAAGTGAGGACTGAGATCACTGAATGGACTGGAGGGATATCAATAGGATGTAGGGTCTGGGGGTGGAGAGTGATTCAAGGGTATATGTATTTCTGACTTGGGCCAGTAGCCCAACTCACTGACATAGGAATCAAAGAGGAGCAGGTTGGGGAAAGGAAATGTATGTATTCAATTTCAATGCTGATGAACTTGACACACAGAAAGGGCATTCAGGTAAAAATATTCAACAGATATTTCTTGTTCACAATGAGCTTGTAATCATATTGCACATTTTCACAGGGACTGGTTTTTATGTTGCTCTTTATGCACTTCATTATTATCATTACAGCCAATATTAGCTACTCTGCTTAAACAAAGGCTGTGAAAAACACAAAGACACACAAGATACACTTCTTCCCTAGAAAGTATTAGTCCCTCAGTTGTGCCTGACTCTTTGGAACTCCATGGACTGCAGACCACCAGGCTCCTCTTCCCTTGAGGGGATCACTAACCCTGGTGGCTCAGATGGTAAAATCTGCCTGCAATGAGGGAGACCCAGGTTCGATCCCTGGGTCAGGGAGATCCCCTGGAGAAGGGAATGGCAACCCACTCGAGTATTCTTGCCTGGAGAATCCCATGGACAGAGAAGCCTGGCGGTCTACAGTCCATAGGCTCACAAAGAATTGGACGTGAATGAGCAACTAACAATTTCACTTTCATTTGAGGGGATCAGAGGATGGATTGGCCAATTACACTAATACTTAAAGCAATTAGAAAACACAAAGAATCCTGCTTAGTGAAAAGCTGATACAGTTGTCTCTCTGGGTTTCATTATAGGACTACTGTGATACCAAAATTCTCAGTTCCTTTACATGAAATGGCTTAGCATAGTTGGCTCCCTGAATCTGAATACTCCACATCTGTGAATACCAAGGACTGACTGCATGTATATATTAAAAATAATAAGTACTACAGGATGGAAAATAGCTGAAATTGAAGTAGACTAGAGAAGCTTTCATGTACAAAATAGGACTTGATATTGATCTTGATAATATATAAATGGGGAAGCTAATGAAGACAGGCATTTCTGATTTGGAGACAGAAATGAAGGGAAAAGCAATTTTATCCATAGCTTAAATGTAATAGATATCTTCAAAAATGATGCTAACTAAGCAGATGGCTTACCCATCATGTTTGCTATTAAAAGAAAGACAGCTCACCAGTCCATGTCCATTCAGAGGTATCATTTCTATCTTTGACCTTACTACCTTTCATTCATAGAAAAAGTTTACTAAATTGGCCATAAAGTGTGGATTCCCTTCAGAAAAAACAGATGGGGAGGGTGGCTCTTCATGGATTAGTTCTGCATAGCCTATGTCTCCGATTTCTCAAACAGTTACACAATCAAGTTCACTGAGGCTTTGTTGCCCTCTTTACAGTTATTAAAAATGATTCAAAAATCATTAATGTGGGACTATTGGCATTGCTATGTTTAAAGTTGCCAAATAGAGTTAACATATAAAACTATTTATTTGGTGGGCAAATGTGGTCTAAAGGCTCATGACTCAGAACAGTGCTGTCCAATAGAAATATCAGGAGAACCACAAATGTGAGCTGCATATATAATTTAAAATTTTTCATCACCACATTAAAAAAGGAAACAGGTGAAATTAGTAATATATTTATTTATGCTGACATATCTGAGATATCATCATTTCAACACATAACATAAAATGTATTTGTGAGAGATTTTATGTTTCTTTTTTTATACCAACTCTGTGAAAACTATTATTTTACAGATTTCACAGAATTGGTTCAGTGGTGGCTGAACTACTGGTGGCTCAGACAGTAAAGCATCTGCCTCTAATGTGGGAGACATGGGTTCAATCCCTGGGTGGGGAAGATCCCCTGGAGAAAGGAATGGCAACCTACTCCAGTATTCTTGTCTGGAAAATCCCACAAGTGAAGGAGCCTTGATGGGGCTATAGTCCACGGGGTCGCAAAGAGTCAGACATGACTGAAAGACTAGTGCGCAGACGCACACACACACACGCACACCAATAGATAGATAGACAGATAGAATGTATCAACTTAAGCAAATTTTAAGTCTTTAAGAGCCATGGGTGACCACC